AATTCTCCATGTGAACAGTTCATCTGGGAAAAAAAGGGCAAAAAAAAAAAGGGCAGGTGAAAGAAATGTGTGTATACCTTGAATGAAGATGGGTGCCTCTGAAGACCTTTTATTTCCTGCGCAGGCAGCTGACGGAACATCCAGCTCTAGGGATACAGGTAGGGCCCCAGCCCTATTGACATAACTAAGGTCAATGGCCAGACCCTCTTTGCCATCTGCAGGGGCTTAATGCTGTGTGTCTATGTACTGTTTCAGCAAGAGATCAGAGTTTCACTGCACTGGATAAGCTAAACAACTCCTACATCTTTTAGCCAGTTTCCCTTGGCTTCTGTCTCTCTCCCGTGTGTGCGTCTGCGTCTCTCAGTATTCAAAACCCCAAAGAGGAGTTTAAATAAGAAGTGCACAGAACATCTCTTACTAGTCTTGCAGACATGGTTGAAAAAGCAGGCAAGGCCTGGGGTAGCTAGTTCCCTTTTCCAGCAGTCAATAGTGTCATGGGATGAGGGAACATTAAATGGTTTCTTACTGACATTATGAGCCCTAATTTTTATGAGGTAATATGATCACTAACAATTACTGCTAGTAAAATGAAACTGAGCAAACAGGGAAAGAAGAGGAAAGAAGCCATTTTTAAGCCAGTCTACTAACTACTTGGTAATTTTCATGCCAATTCTTACTTCCTAGAAGACACAACGTGGGTAGTGCTAATATATGGCACAAGCTGTAACTTGTTTTCTGGGCATACAAAGAGCTCTTTTCCTTTTGGAGATGTACTTGTTCTGCCTAACGTTGTAGGAGGGAGACTGTATAGCAGAAAAATCCATTTCCCTTTCATGATAATGTTGAAAGTAATCTGAAAAAGCCTAAGTATAAAATGACTACTGAGATAAAATCTAAATACCTTGTTGTACCACAAAGAAGTCTAATACAGATGAGCTTCAGACTGAGTTTTACAGTCAATAAGTATCAAAACAAGAGGAAGGAATAGGTCAATGACAAGAGATTGAATTGCAATTTGTGTCTGTCCACAACCGTGAAAGTCTCTTGTTTTGTTCTTAAAGCCCAAAACAGTGCAGAAAATCTTCCCTAAGCTGAGCACAATTTTTGTATATGACAGGAACCAAAGAACTGGCACAGTAAAGGACCATGTGCATCAAGTGACAGACAAAAACATTGTTCAGTGTGATCTTGCATTTCTTGTTTGCAAGATAACAATGAAATTATTTGTTTGACTTGCCTGCTAATTCTTCAGTAGATAAGTCCCATGATCACGTTTAATTTCTTCTCTCTAGAGAAGAAAAAAAAGTTAAATATCCTCAAAATATCACACAGAAGATTGTGAGATACAGTCCAAGGCCCAAATCTATAAAGTCTGGAATTTGGGATGCTTCACACTGAATTCCAGCTTTCTGAATGAAACCACATGAATCTGAATTCCTAACTTTAAAAGATATTGGATCTGAAATTAGTGTCAGATCCAATGAGACTTACGCAACTAAAGTAAAAACGCAGATCTTGGAAACTTCCCTTTCTTATCTTTTAATTTCTCAGATTTCTGAAGTTATGCCTTGTACCTCATCCAGAACTGCCCCTGCAGTGTCTTCAAAAAGCAGAGTTCACCTCTCTTTGGCACACAAGAATCAGGTCTGTTTTGGCCTCCTCAGGGTGAGGAGGACAATCCACAATTAAATGAAACTAGATCCCTTTCAAGATAGGGAAGAAAATACCCAGATACTTTTTAAAACAGTGGCAGTGACAATGAAATAATTGACCTAACAATTAAATAATTAAATCATCACACAAAGACATTATTAAATAAATCATTTAAATAATATTTGCTTTTGCTTCTGTGAAAAGCACCTCGAAAATAAATGACACTTAAGAAGAAACCTCTTGTGACCGAGAGACAGAACATTCACCTCTAAGGGAACAGTCCTTCTTCCAGTCACAAGCCACTTCTATATTTTACTTTTAGCAGCTTTGGATGAAGGACAGAAACGGTCTAAACCTGTAAAGGAATCACAATCTATGTTTTTTTTCTTTTGCACATCTCAACTGCAGAGTTCTTCACTCTTCAGTATCTAATTCAGGGCTAGAAAGAACTAATTCTGAAGGAAGGTGAAAAATGCAAGTCCATAAATGGCTCCTTCTCACACTTCAACTTAGTAATAATGCAAATTAGCTGTGCAATCAAATCCTATAGTTTGGAATAAAAAATCTAATAAAGTCTGGTAAAAAGTACATATTTCTGTCCTAAACACAGACTTTTTGGACAAAGCTATCACCCATCTCCAACTCAGTCATACATCCACACACCAATTTATACTGGTCTGGTCTGACTCCATTAATTTTGCTGAAATTACTCCTTGAAGGAAATTAAACGCTCTCTAGTTCTTTCATGGGAAGTACAAAAATATTATGGAGGTTGGGGGTATAAACAAGCTCAAAATGGAGGGGAAAATAAATCCACCTCTTAAATGTTGTGGCAAAGTCTTCACTTTGCTTTAAGGGGAGACTAATTTGCTGGAAGTAGTTATTAAAGAAAGGTCACAGAGTAACAGCCCTGTTCCTCCCTTACAATTCCATTGCTAGCCACTACTGGAGATGTGCTACAGGGCAGCGCTGGGTAGTCATTGCATGTCTGTCTCCAGCGTAAGTCCTCTTACTTTCCATCTCTTTGTTATCAACTCCTATGATCCTCACTACTCCTTAAAGACCAAGAGCATCCAACATACTTCAAGGTCCCCTTGGGGATATGAGAGTTAATTTGTTCATAGAAAATCTGTAGGGTCAAAACATCTGGAGTGCTGCTCCTTCTGGATTGTCCATCGTACAGATGACCAGGTGTCAGGATTTTTCTGCCAAGCTAGTCTGGGGTTTGGTAGCTTGCCTCTCCCTCTGGCACTGGGAGTCACCCTTAGGGCATTCTGAAATCCTGCAGGAGGGCTCAAATAAAGTCTGGTAAAAAGTACATATTTCTGTCCTAAACACAGACTTTTTGGACAAAGCTATCACCCATCTCCAACTCAGTCATACATCCACACACCAATTTATACTGGTCTGGTCTGACTCCATTAATTTTGCTGAAATTACTCCTTGAAGGAAATTAAACGCTCTCTAGTTCTTTCATGGGAAGTACAAAAATATTATGGAGGTTGGGGGTATAAACAAGCTCAAAATGGAGGGGAAAATAAATCCACCTCTTAAATGTTGTGGCAAAGTCTTCACTTTGCTTTAAGGGGAGACTAATTTGCTGGAAGTAGTTATTAAAGAAAGGTCACAGAGTAACAGCCCTGTTCCTCCCTTACAATTCCATTGCTAGCCACTACTGGAGATGTGCTACAGGGCAGCGCTGGGTAGTCATTGCATGTCTGTCTCCAGCGTAAGTCCTCTTACTTTCCATCTCTTTGTTATCAACTCCTATGATCCTCACTACTCCTTAAAGACCAAGAGCATCCAACATACTTCAAGGTCCCCTTGGGGATATGAGAGTTAATTTGTTCATAGAAAATCTGTAGGGTCAAAACATCTGGAGTGCTGCTCCTTCTGGATTGTCCATCGTACAGATGACCAGGTGTCAGGATTTTTCTGCCAAGCTAGTCTGGGGTTTGGTAGCTTGCCTCTCCCTCTGGCACTGGGAGTCACCCTTAGGGCATTCTGAAATCCTGCAGGAGGGCTCAGGATTTCAGAATGCCCTAAGGGTGACTCCCACTGCCAGAAGGAGAGGACAAACTCCAGAATCAAGCAACCTGTGCCAAGAACACTAAACAAGTAACAACTTTTTGTTTAAAACTGAGAGCTGAAGTTGGCAAAAGGACTCCAACTGTTGTAAATGTCACTTGAGTGTGAAAGACAGGGGTAGCTACTTAAGCCTTTAGTACCCAAAACATTTAAGGCTTTATAGATCAAATGTGGCTTAAAGAGAAGGTCAGGCCTGGCAGGCAATGAAGGTCGTGCAGTCCAGGTGGAATGTGCTTTCTGCCTGGGAATTTCCCTTTCCTAAGCAGGCAGCTATGCCCTGCTGCAGCTTCAGGTGCAACACACACTGCAAGTCTTAGGTTACAAAAGAAGCTAATGACTCCAATGACACTGAAATTAAATTGCCACAGGCAATAATGAACATTCATTAAAGCAGTGAAAGGTATTTGTGTCATTGTTGCTTGTACCTGCAACCAGAAAGATGTAACAAGAACTGAGGAAACAACAGCTTTTGTCCTAATTCAGACAAGATGATGCATCATGTTCAGTTCCTTCTATTTGCTTCTCCCCAACTGTAATAATTGTTTGACATTTACGTGAGCCAGGTTAGCTAGCTTCTATTTTTGTCTCCGTATGCTACAGCTGTTAGATAACTCTTTCAGCCTCATCAGAGAAGAATCAGAAATGCTGTCACTGACCCCACATCTCCTGCTGTTAACAATGCCCATATTCTCACAGATGAGCAGAGGTAAAGGATTGGTGTCTCACTGCAGGGATTGCCAGACATGGACTCATGTAATGTGTAGACAAGGAAGGAGCAGTATATTAACAGTGGTGTCCAATAGCCTGTGCATGACTAATGTCTATCAGCAATGAAAAACTTAATTCTGATTAGGGAGGACATCTTTCTCCTTCTGAAGATTAGCTGGGTCATACTCTTAATGTACTTGGCTCCCTCCATCCCCTTCAGAGACAGCTTCTTGCTTTCAACCTATTGATCAAATACCAATAACAAGTCTCATGTGAATTCTGCAAACTCAGGATTTACTCCTCTCTGTTGTCTCCAACACTAGCTCTGATCAAAGACATGTCAATGGATGACTCAAGCGGGTGGGTTATTGTAATAACCCAACACTGCAAAATTTATAGTTGAGTTTCTTCCTATTGTGTCCATTTATCTGACTGAAAATTGAATTAAAATTGAGGTACAGTGTAACAAACTGGAATTGATAAACCTTTCCTGGAGAATTGGGTCAAGTGTAGGTCAGACTGACATGTACCTGTTTTTGTCTTCATGACAGGATAGCTGGACTCTGGACACCAACATGACTGAACGCTTCGACTGCCACTACTGCAAAGAGTCCCTGTTTGGTAAGAAGTACATCCTGAAGGAGGACAGCCCCTACTGTGTGAAATGCTACGAGAACCTTTATTCCAACACCTGCGAGGAATGCAAAAAGCCTATCGGTGCTGACTGCAAGGTATGGCACATTAGTGTCTTGTTACAGAAATCTTGACAGAGTAGCCTGAATACATAGCTCTAAGATATGGTGCTATCACCTGGAGGAATCCATGAGTCCGGCTTAGTGGCTACATAGAGGTTTCTTTTGGTGGGAGAGCATGGTTTCTGGACCCCTACATCTGCCTTTCACCACTTCATTTGACTAACTCTTCTTTACCAAGCATATTAACAGACATGGAAGAACACCCCTCTCTTCTTCTAAGGGATAGGATGATCTGATGTTAGAAAGAATCTCTAACTCATCAGGAGAGCCCAAGTGTCCTAGGGGCCAGCTGGGATCTGGAAAGGTGGCAGAAACTGATTTTTTCCTTCCTTGGGAGTTAAGCCATTGCTGGCTTTGCAGTGATGACAGTTCAGTTGTCATCAAGAGACAAGGCGTGCTCAGGAAAAGCTGCCAATTCATCAACCACAAAAATATGGCTAATGCTCACCAAAGTAGTAAGTCAGTTAGAACACAGAATAATTACCCTTTTAAATCCAGTAGGATGACAGTGGAATCTAACTAAAGGTTGCAAAGGACAGAGCACAGACCTTGTTTGCTTTGGCTGCTTCACATGGAAACACCTACCTGGTACAAATGAAGTGTGACCACCTACATTTCTTTTAAATTAACCAAATCAGCTGGAGTGCATGTCAGTTGTACTCTGACTGAATGAAGACAGGTGGTATTTGAGCCATCCAGTGCAATGTCTGTTAGACTGCCACTAACAGACATCATCCAGTATACATTCTTCTTGCACAAAACTGACCTGTTCAAAGTGGATAAGAGTTTCACTGGTGGAGCAAGTTTGCACTAGAGCAGCTATTTGCACGGCACGGCTCAGGATTCTTCACTGGTATGAGGAGATATGACGTTTGATTTCCTACATTGCTGATCCATAACTCCAGAAGCACCAATTAGTCTCTCTTACTGATACTACCACTCTATCAATAATCCAGAGGTAGAAAAGTATGTGCTTACTCAGATTGGGAAAAATAAATGTTTCATACCTTCCAAATTGATCTATCCCACCCTATTGGCAAACCAGTAGGAAAGCCCCTTTGAGAAGCCATAAAAAGGTGAGAGTGTTTCACCATCATGACAGGGAACAGGCAACAATCTCTGAGAGGGTATAAAACTGCCAGCTTTCCTACAGCTCATAAATATTCAGATTGGAGAAGAGGTACAGCTGGCCTGACCTGAAAAAGCAAAATATTTCTGCCCCATTCCAGAACGTGCTTTTGTTTTAAGGTCTCTTTCTAATCCCTTGAGAAGACATTTCCATGTGTTGATATTCAAGAATTTAAAAACTTGGACCAGCTTCAACAAATCTCGGACAAAGTATTCAGGAATTAATCAGGCTGAACTTTTCAACCCAGATTTATGGATTTAGGGAGTATGGCTGTTATTCGATATACTGCTTTCCTGTACTTTTAAGCAAGACACACTCTAATAGCAGATGGAAGAAAAGCCCCTAATTGTCTGCAATATAAGAATATTTTTAAAAACAGACTATATGTGGAAAACATAACTTTAAGAGTAATAGATTGTAGTAGGGACAAGAAAGTAGGTCCTTTTTTTGTTTCTGTGACTTCTGTTTGTGCCCGTCCATGTTTTATGCTGCAGATTCTGAACCTGTTGACTAATTTTAACCGAACTCTGATACACGGATAAAAGCTGCAAACTGAAATTCCTACAAGTTTTCAGAAACACAACAGGTCGTTAAGTAGAAAAAGAGATCCTATTAATGTTTCTACTGAGAGAAAAACTTAAGTAGTTTTTCAATTACAGTAATAGATGCTAGAGCATACCTTTGAGAGAGCCCTTTTAAGTGCCTCAACCACAACATAAGTTTCAGTTGAAGCTTGTGCACTATATGACTCAGCATAATTCAGCCATGAAACATAAAGCCACAAAAACTATGCTTCTGCTCCTCATTAAACTGTATATATACACAGGTATACAAACATAGGTGAAATATGCGCATATATACATACACAAGACATTTATGTAAGTGTTTACTTTTTTAACACATTGCATTTGCAGTTTCCCCTGAGCAAAGGTAAAATGTACTGTGTTTGAGAAGAAAACCAGTATGTTTACTCCATGTACTAAAATGGACTCCATATTTATATGTTCTGACAGATCCTTTATACAGCTTTAAAATTTGGAACTATAACCTAATGGAGTAACAGTATTATCAGAAGGGGTCACATCCAAGCCTTTGTATCTGGCAGGGGCATCCATCTTCACAACCACTTTAGAACCTGAAAAGCTCCATGTAGCTCTCACCTCAGAGCCTCCTTTGCTAGTCCCTTCTTGGCCACCACTGTTCCTCTACACAGAGAAGGGCTGAGCTGAGAACCCAGCTGCAGCTGAGATGTTCTTATTTTCACCTGCAAAGAATTTCCTTCTTGAGGATGGCTATATAGTTAGTCTATGGATGTTTCTTAGGACTTGCAAAACGTGAGACTAAAGGTTAGGATTAAGATTTGGACCCGATTCTTTCAGAGTGCAAGGCAAAAGCTAGCTTGGAGAGCCTCTTAGATGCTTATTTGTCTGGGTGAAAAATGCCATACAATACCAACCAAACAAATTACACCAAAGTAAAACCGGTGTTGACAAGAAGACAGCCAGCTCTCTGTCTCTGACACTACTGTAATGTATCAGCACCAGTGCACAGCATCATCTCACCTGAGCTGAACTTAAGCCTGCACAGACACTGGTAACACTCCCACTTAGACAGCAATGGGCTCTGAGAGGGTCAAACTGATGCCAGGTTTTCACCTTGTGTTTTAGCTATGGCACAGTGACCCCATAAAGCAACTATCCTGAATATATTTTTTCTTGAAATCCAAATAATGAGAGAATTTTCTTAACTATCTTTCAAGTTTTCCTAGGGTAATTGGTAACTGAGTAATAACTAATTTGTTCTTTATTTTAAATGTTGCTTCTTTTTTTTTTTTTAATATAAAAAATCCTGAATGACAACATGTCTGAATGACACTTTTGGACTTAGACCATGTTGTTAACTGTAAACTATTCTAGCTGATATTTATGAAACTTCTACAGACAGATTAAAAGCATCATATACTGAGTGGCAGGAGGCACTGGCAGGCAGCGGAGAAACACGATGCCGTTTCTCTCGCAGTTGTTACACATTATGCATATGCCAGCACATCCTACTAGGAATTTAGTCTTTCTAAGAAGAACTGGCATTTCATCATCTATGTCCCCAGCAAATGCTCATCACACCTACAGTTTCATGCTTCTTTCTGTTCTCATTTGCTTAACTGCTGAAGTGTGACTTTTGGTGGATTTTGGCTCTTTTCATAGTTTCCTTGCAGGCCTTATGGCACAGAAACCATCACAAATGCAGGAAATACCTACAGTAATCCAGTGTTTAATGCAGTCCACAAGTTGGCCTTGGCAGGCAGGAGGTGATGAAAACTCTGCAAAATGTGAGAATGAAATTAAAAGTGGATTGTGAGATAAAGCTTCTGTATCAACACTCAGGCCAAAAATTAGATGTCAGTCTTACACTCAAACTAAAGAAAAACAAATAGCTTCTAGAAATGTGGATCAGGAAAGGGAGAAAATACTTGTTTTTTCAGATTGTTAATGTTTAAAACTTGTCCTGAGTTACAACACTTTTACAGTGCACCACTGAACATCTGACTAGTTGTTGTGACGTGGAATGGTAACAGAGACAGAGAGACAGATACCTTCACCTCTTTTCATATCCCTAACATGATGGATTCAGCAAAGTGTCACTTACTTTTATCTTTTCTATGTTTTTGATAGTGAAGTACCATTTGTTTTGGTACAGGGTGTACATGGTTAAAATCTGAATAGCATTTTGTTGTCACGGAATCACAGAATTGTCAGAGATGGATGGGACCTCTAGAGAGCATCCAGTCCAACTCTTCTGCTAAAGCAGGATCCCCCAGAGCACATTACTCAGGGCTGCATCCAGGCAGGTCTTGAATATCTCCAGAGAAGGAGACTTCACAACCTCCCTAGGCAGCCTGTTCCAGTGCCCTGTCACCCTCACTGTAAGGAAGATTTCCCTCATATCTAAATGGAACTTCCTATGTTCCAGCTTGTGCCCATTGCCCCTCATCCTGTCACTAGGGACTACTGAAAAGAGTCTTGTTCCATCCTCCTTGCACTCGCCCTTTAGACACTTGTAGGCATTAATAAGGTCTCCCCTCAGCCTTCTCTTCTCCAGGCTAAAGAGTCCTAGCTCTCTCAGCCTTTCCTCATCAGGGAGATGCTTCAATTCCCCACTCATCTTTGTTGCCCTCCGCTGGACTCTCTCTAGTAGTTCCCTGTCTCTCTTGAACCAGGGAGCCCAGAACTGGATGAAATATTCCAGATGTGGCCTCACCAGGGCAGAGACCTATTGGCCACACTTTTCCTTATGCACCCCAGGATTCCATTGGCCTTCTTGGCAACAAGGGCATTTTGCTGGCTCATGGATAATTTACTGTCTACCAGGACTCCCAGATCCTTCTCCTTGGAACTGCTTTCCATCAAGTCTACCCCTAGCCTGTATTTTTTCTGCTCAGCCTTCTGAAATCAGCATTGCAGCAAGCAAAGAGGTCTGATGTAGCCTTCATTCATGAACAAACATACAGTTACTTTTCTGGTAATTATCTCTCTAATCTCCCACTTCCTGTTGGGTCCCTGCTGAAGGATAGTTCAGGAGAAAAGATAATACAGAATGGCTTAAGTTTATTTAGATTTGTAAAGCCAGAGTAGAAGACAATGCAGTTGCAGGACATGAGGAGCCTTTGCTTAACCTGGTAGCTGCTGTACTGAGGCTCTCCTAGTTCAAAACACAAAAGAAGTCACCAACGGTCCTATCTTAGAGGCCTAATAAACCATGCTGGAGCAAAACTACACAGAACTATCATGGAACTATAAAATTTGATTTTGCTGGTGTTCAAAACAGTTACCTTGAGAAAGTTTTATTTGGGGATGAAAACATGAAAATAAGTGAAAATAAAATTGTTTAAAAAGCATTTAATGGCTTTTCAAAACTGCAGGTTTCAAACTCATTTTTGTTTGGTGATAACTCTAAAGTTTTGGATAGCAATAGGACCTGCATTAAGTTTTGTTTGCACCAGAGCCTTAGTGTTTACCATCTGAATGTGTACAAAGAACTCCACTTGGCCCACTCTGACATCTGCTTGAGACATCCACCATTCATTTGGTTGTCCCAAGGAACACCAAGCTGAAACTTTCAGCCGAAGCTGATTCTGAAAACAAGCTGAGCAAAGCACCTATTGAAATTTGAGTAGTTTCAGGTTTTGCAAATCTGTTTACTTTTTATCTTCAAATGAAACCAGACAAAGAAAGGATTATTTTCCATGTTCAGAAAAAAAACGTAACTGAATGAAGTGCTAAATATTTCTCCTGCAAATTCTGCTGCAGGGTATAACGCAGCTCTGCAGAGACAGGCATTGCCCTTCTTTCCTTCTCTTTTCACTAGCAGCACATCTGGAACTGGTCTGGTGCTCTCTGCACTTCTGCTGCAAAGCGCTTATTCAGGACAGACCATGTCCAAGAGCATCTATGTGCGTGCAACTCTGTGTTTGCAAACACTGTTCCACTCCTCAGATTTCAATCTATGGTAATTCTTCAGTCTCATATCTGTGTTTATGTGTGCTGTATCATACAAGACCATGTGGCTGTCAGTTTTCAAAGACAAATTCACAGATTGAGTGCAAAAAGGGTCATCCTCCAGATTTCTTCTAGGCAACATAGGAAGCTGCATTTAAAAATCCAGTTCAAATATGTAGCACCAGGGAATCATGTCCCTTAGGGTGCATAAAGCAGCTGAGAAGTCATGCTCATCAGTATTTTATGGATTCACTCCAGTTCTGAGTCCACAATAGTAATTTTCTTTATTAGCTCTCCCTAGGAATCCATGCAATAAACAGGAATAGTTGTAAATCACTTGTACCTTCTTCTGGAACAGATTTATTTGGGCTACAATCAGCTAGTGTAAACTAGAGCTCTCATGCCTAGAGGAAACCTCAGCTTAACTGAGGACCAGCCTAACAGTCAGACAAGCCTGAAGTCAGTTTTGCACACGCAGCTTCTCCAGTGTAGAATTTGTTCCTGATGAATACAGCCACAACTGATGTACAAGCCAAAGGCTCCAGTTAGACGTGCAACATACTGAAGCAGACCTGATTTCCAGGGACTTTATGATACTGACTGAAGAGCAATCATGATGCAGAAATTGTTTCATCAATATCTTAGAATTCCTTTGGATGTGACAGCCTCAGAGAGAGACAAAACAATATCTTTTTCATCAGTCTACTACTCTTCTGCAGGCATGTCAAAGCCCTCCGAATCCCACTACATTCAATGATAGTATCTGTTATAATCATCTAAGGTAGCTCAAGATTATCTGAGTCAGTCCGTATCTTGGGTACTTTGGGTTGTAGTTACGCTTCATCGCTTTGCCATGATGAAAGATCTGCTACTTTCACCTACCCAGCTACTGTCTATACAAGCTGCCATCATAACTGACTCCAGGATCAAAACTTTCATCATATACACCTACCCCTTGCCTTCATTACTTCTCTTCTAAAAAGCACACACCTTCTCCAAGGTATAATTTCATTGATAAAACAAGGCAGAACAAAAGCAGATAACAGCCTACGAGTTTTGAAGATTAAAAAAAGCTTGCAGAATTTTTCAAAAAGAGAAGAAAAGCATCAAGGGGGAAAGATAGAAGAGAAAGAAAAACAGGTTTGTGTCACTTTGTTTTCTAGCAGGCAAATCTCACATTTTGGAAAACTCTGTTGGCTGTATGTTGTATTTTTCTCTTGAAAATAATATTCCCCTCTGAGATCAGATCTAGGATATTCAACTTCATTTAAAGGAAAAAAAATATAAGTGACTTCCAAATAAGGTTTTTGTTTGTGGGGGTTTTTTCATTTTGCTATTAGAAAAGCTTAAAATTTTATAGTCAGAAATGTGGGTTGTTCCAAAAGGAGTTAGCTGAAATGAACAGGTAAGTTGAATACACAACTGTCTGAAAGCTATAGAGTAGGAGGCTCAGATATTCTAATGCAGAGTGCAACCTCCCATATGAAAGACACTGGATACCAATTGTTACTCACAGAGATTTATGACATTTTGATGAGCACCACAGATGTGCAAATCAAAAGTCTATGTTGCACGGTCAAATTCTGACAGAAGTTGCTATAGTTTAAAAAGCTTTCACAACAGCAGCTGAGGTAGGCAAAAGTATTCCAGTGTTTCCTGGTAGCTATTTATGAGAACAAGGCCCCTGCAAACACCATGTGTGGTTTCTTGAGGTTAACCTAAATCCACAGTATCTTTTATTTGCTCTGGGCTAACGTCGCACATGGAGTTACCTGTGACTGCACTGACACAGAGACAGCTTAGGTCAGACTATGTTCAAATACTTTGTGATGCTTCCATTTACACAATTAAAAAATCTGATGTTCTACAACTCATTGTTTTCCTTCAGTTAACCAGATTAATTTAGTCCTGGAAATTAATACATAGTAGATCTTGAGCTAGAACCCATGTTGGTATTTCTGCTGAATTTTTATACTCCCAGTTCATGAAAATACTACCTCACTTCAAACTGAAGCCTAAATATTTTGGGGATAGACACCCTTTTGTAATGTTCTAAGCTCCATTTTGATTGGAGTCCAAAGACACTGTTCAAGTGTGATATGATTACGCCACCTTAGTTTAAATTTTAAAAGGCACATTCCACGCCTTAAGGTCACAATCTTTAGAAAGACCATTTTTAAAAACAATAAAACTACCATTGTGGAGAGTATTTAAAATACATAGGTGGCTGTGCTAATCCCTTGCCCAGAGTGTTCTGGATCACTGGCTGAAGGGTATGGTGTGATCTCTCATCTTTCAGTCTGATCGACATCTGAAACATGGATAAACCAAAATAACAGACTCAGTAAAAATTAGTTGAAGTGAAAAAAAACCCCAAGAAACAGAGATCAGAACAATTCCACCCTTGGTGTAAATCTGTTGAATTGAATAAATACCAAAAAGTAATTGGAAAAGGGTTTCTGTTTGGCAATGAACAGTTATGAAATGACCTGGGGGAAGTCTATTGCACCTACAACATTAACAAGTTTTAATCTGACTCAAAAATGGGGCATTAGGTATTAGGAAATACCTAAATTAAACTAGTTGTTCCTCCGCCACATATAAAAAATTAAGATTACCTTGAATTGGAAGAGGGTCGATAGTTGTCATGAGCTCTTCCCAGTTATCATTGCAAAATAAGTTCACCTCCATCAGAACATTTTGTTTTCTTAAGCTGTACAAATTAGACTCAGCTCCTGGCTGTGGTTCAGATTTAGATGTGTTTACATTCTCTGAGCTTCTAATTGTGCAAACTATTCATTCCACTTACTTTGTGGTTTTGGATTTCTACAGGATCTGTCTTACAAGGACCGCCACTGGCATGAAACCTGCTTCCACTGCTTCCAGTGCAAGAATTCATTGGTGGACAAACCTTTTGCTGCAAAAGAGGAACATCTACTTTGTACTGATTGCTACTCCAACGAATACTCTTCAAAATGCAATGAGTGCAAGAAGACTATTATGCCAGGTTAGGATGCTCATTTTTTGGACTAAGATTAGGCTAAATATCAAGTCTAAACACAACAGACAGATTATTATCTCTGCTAAGTCAGGGTGAATGTCATATAATACAGCTGATAGTGCATTCTGAGTTATTTCCATGACCAGAACACATAATTTTCATGATGAATCATGATAGAACTGTTATCCTCATGAAGTGGATTACTTTTGAAAATTGGTATTTATTTAATTTAGTATTTTTATTAATGAGGTTTATAATTTTCTACAGCAGTATTCATTAAAAGGCTGGACAATGATGGCCAGACATTTTAAATCTATCTTTCTGTCCAATCCCAACTTTGTACTCTGTCTTGTTTGGCTTCCACTGCTTGAAGATCAGAGGCAGTTTGCAAATTTGCAGCTTACCCCAGCCATGATTTAGCTTTTGATGTAATTAATCTAAATTTAACTTCTCCCATAAAAATGAAAAATTGGTCAAAGTGCCTCTGAGATCTTGAGCGCAAAGACGTGAAGAAACAGGAAAGAGCCATTTTCTTTTCAACATGAAACACAGGGTTACAGCAATAGGTTGCTAAAACCTCATCTGCTCATGTCAATACTACAGCATTCTGTGATGATTTGAGAGCTTGCAGTAGAAGGAATGTTGGTCCAGAAATAAAATATTAAAAGAATCCACATACATGCTTCATAACGATTACTAGTTATTTTTGCAGTAAAATTTTTCCTTAGCTGGTTCTGACATTGGTCATCTTAGAAAAAAGCTGAAAACTACAAGGTTGTGCAGCTAAAGTGTAAAAATGAAGGTTTGACAATGAAATATGACATATAAATAGAAACAATAACAACATTTAAAAGCAGATCCATTTGTGATCGAGTTTAGGCATCTCCTATCATTCCAGCTGCATCTGCTTTAAGCAATACAGTACTAAAACCTGACATGTTTGGGAATAGCCAGAGCTAGTTTTAAAGCTGAAATGACATATATGTATATTTTTAAGATTGCTCATAACGTTTGTCCCCAAGATCATCGAGCTTATTTACCAAATGGATCTCTTTTTTACTACTATGCGAGCTATGGATTGATACGCAGTAATGGAGACTGGATTCAGCAACCCAGAGAATCCCTTCTTCTCTTGTAACCTGAAACAGAAGAAAACCACTTTTATGAAGCTTTACAACCACCAACTGGTCTTTAGCTGCTTTGTCAGGATAGCCATGATGTCACCACATTCAGAGGGCAGTAAACCCAGAACGTATTTTCTGCTTACACAGCACACTGTGTCATTACAGGAGCCACACCAGAGCACTGTGATCACCAACATAATTCATTTTGAAAGAACCAGCAAGTGGTTGGATACCTTTTACGGAGACTTTTAGTACTGTTAATGCTACACTTGCCCTTTGCTTTGCTCTACTAAATGTACAATTTAGATTTAATAAAGCATTATAATGACAAGCCTGTTAAATACTAAAGAAATTACAAGCTTGATCTTTCAGTCCTTCTGCAAACTAAATTCCCACTGACTTCAGTCCAGCAGCTAACAAACAGGGCTCCCTGTCCCTTGAGTTTCAGTGACAAAAAAATCTCAAAGACAGAACAGCTAAAAATGTGAAAATAAAATTCTAGACTATTTTAAAAAAGCAGTATCCACATCTCCTTTTTCCAAAACACCGTTCCTTCAAGGACTGATTTAGTTGCTCATTGGCATGGTATAGAATGTTACCAGCACAGAAAGGGAGCAATTCTTAAAAGGTGTCCATTTAAAAAATGGATCAGAAATGCAACCATGCAAGAATCAAGCAGAAGCCTAATTAACTGCTCACTCACTACACTGCTGCAAGTCAATTATTAGAAAAACCCCAAACTCTGCAGTATGCCTCTGCACAGAATTCAGTATGACCAAAAAAAAGAAAAAAAAAAGAAAAATATGTAACCAGTAAACAAAGTGAAAATAATCCTTGAGAGGAGGAAAATGGTAAAACTTCACCCTGCAGTAATGGGGGTGGGGATAGTTGTCATTAAAGGAGCTAGTATGGTTCTTCATCCTTAGCCAACATGTGTGTCTGCCAAGCACTTGACATCATGTTTGTTGCTACTGGTTTCAGAAGTAATGCAGAACTGTGGAAGCATCATTTGTTTGTTTTTCCTGTTGGACAGTATAAAATATTCTGACTGAAACTGGTACATAGGCAATTATACAGTGTGCAAAAAAAATTTCCCCGTATAATACAATATTTCAAATTTCCAGAAAGGGCTCAGAATCCACCTGTCATACAGTGGACTGAATCTGTAAAGTATAGTATTTGTACCCTAAAACTTCATTTTAGAGAAGTACAGTTAGCTCCTAACTACCACACCTTCCAACAAAGGATCGTTTAAAGCTTTCTCTTCCTTTCACATTGCACCTTTAGTTTAACTACAACTGAAGACAGAGAAAAAGCTTCTTTCTTACTGGTAGGTAGTTTCAAGAGACAGAAAAACAGGATAGGTGTTTCAGAGCTGGAAACCATTCCAAATTTATGGTGGACAGCAATGAGGACAAGAACAAGTTCACAGAGCAGATGTAAAACAATCCTTTTTCTCAGACAGTGACTATACTTTATGGGGAAAGGTAGGCAAGAAGCTTCTAGGAATTAACCAGGTAGCTTCCAGGTGTCCAAAAAAAGGACATGAAATGAAAAAAGTCAAACTTCTATGAGGAATGTCATTACCTTCACTCAGAACTAACAGCAGTTTTATTGGTGTCTCCCCAGGTGTCCAGAATCTTCCTGTGCATTAGAAATCATCATTAACTCTAATAACACCACAAAAAAGGTGTCCTAAGCCTTCATTGCCAACAGTAAATATTTCTCTCCTTTGTAGGAGAACCACTCACTCTCCAAAAACATGCCATACAAAGCTGGTGGGAACATGAAATAGCCTCCAGCTCACAGTTGCACTGCTTACAGACTTATGACAGTCAGCTGTCAGGCAAGCAAACAAGAGCAATTGCATCTGGCTCACCCAGAAGTAGTTCAGCTGATGCTCTGGTCTCATTCCAGGTACTCGGAAGATGGAATACAAGGGCAACAGCTGGCATGAGACCTGCTTTATCTGCTATCGCTGCCAACAGCCTATTGGGACAAAGAGTTTCATCCCTAAGGACAATCAAAACTTTTGCGTACCCTGCTACGAAAAGCAGTTTGCTATGCAGTGTGTCCAGTGCAAGAAGGTAGTGATCTTACTTTACTTACCTAAAGCCTAAGGGACTGAAGTCCATCCATTTTATGTCCGAATAGGGAGAAAACACCTTTTTTATTATGTATGATAAAAAAATTGGAGTCAATTGATTTTAGGAGACTATGTAATTCTAGTCCCCAACCTACACCAGGCAGAGCAGCTACTACAGTGAGAATTCTCTTACTCAAGGTCAAAAGATCCCCTTGTATTGAAAGCATGCAGAAAACAAGTTTTTGAAACAAGACAAAAGAAAAAACAAAGCAGGGGGGGAAAAAAACAAACCAAAACTGAATTGGAAGAACCTCTTTCCCACATAACCCATGATGTATATATCACATATACAAACATTCCAACTGGAAGGAAGATGAGGTAACACTGATAATATTTTAATATTCTAATGAAGTTCAAGACAGAGAGACCAGCTTTGCACACAGCAAATGCCATTCCTGAAATAAGCAGTGTTCAACTCAATATGCTCAGGAGTATGACTTTCTAGGCTAAGGACCTTTTAATTGTGAATGTTCTGAATTCTATACACAGATAGAAATTTTAGAATTCTTTAAAAAATGAAACAAAAAAAGAATTGCCTCCTATCCATCTACTAATTTTCTGAAGCTCCTATGAGTTTCAGATCTTAAAACCTCTGTCTAGTGGCAAAAGTTAGACACATTTGAGAAGAGGCTCAAAAATGCTTGTGGTAAGAGGCAAAGACACAGATGAATACACGTATTAGGTAGCATGATCATATATAAGCCTTATTCCAAGGGAATCTCCCTTTAGGGAAGAGAGGAAGAAAAATTAAACTATCCAATTTTACAGCCTTCTTAGGAATACTCAAAGGATCAAAAACATGTTCAGTTTGTCTAACATCAGGGGAGCTGTTTTTGTAGGCAACGACTTGCTACAAAACCTCAAAGTCCAGAGAAGCAGAAAGCAAGGACTTCAGCTAAAATTTGAAATAAAGCCATCTTTGCCAAGGAGAACAACAGGAAAGTTGAAACACATAAGATGGTTCCTTCACCATGAAGAATGGGACAGGTGAAGGAACAGAGATGACACAAATCTTATCAAACACATACAAAAAGCAACACACAAAGACTTGCTTTAAAAACAAACAGTACAACTGAGACTGAGATTATACCATATATGGAGAACAAAGTACTTTTTAGTATGGGGCTTCTTTGTATAAATTAGGATATTATATTAAATCACTTGCTTTTCTCAAGGCCAACGCCAGCCAAAATGATGATTTTGCTGCTGCTAAGCCTTTTTTCCATCCTCCCGCCCACAAAAACCCATCACCTTTCCTCTCTACCAAACCCAGATGCAAACCTGCCACCTTCAACAAAACACTTTCTGTCTTACTTCCCACAAAACAGGCCATCACTACAGGAGGTGTTACTTACCGGGAGCAGCCGTGGCATAAGGAATGCTTCGTTTGTACTGGGTGCAAGAAGCAGTTGTCTGGACAACGCTTTACCTCCCGGGATGAGTTCGCGTACTGCCTGAGCTGCTTCTGCAACCTCTACGCCAAAAAGTGTGCTGGATGCACAAACCCCATCAGTGGTAGGTCTCTCGTGGCCAGGACCTTTACATTTCATTTGTTTTTTGTTTGTTTGTTTGTTGTTGTTTTTTCCAAGGAACTCCTAATATTAGAAATATTCAATAATTCATTTTTATTAACTTGAGAGACTCAAGACATGATACAACTCAAGACATATTAAATTAAATACTTATGCTGCCTCTCAGATGACGAACAAAAATAAATGGAGAAGGTCCTTAAAATGAGGTTTCCTCCTTTTCACGTAATTGTCATGGAACATGGTGGACACACAGTAACAACAGAGCTATACGCATAGTGAGATATATTCCGTACATCATTCCACTTGCATTCATTACAGGGATCACTGACGTCTGCATCAACAGCGTCTCTGCCAGCAGAAAGTGTCTAACTGACTTATACCTCATGCTTCAGCACAGCACATTTCTTCCCTGACTTTTCAAGACAGCAACTAAAAAAATCACAAGATTTTTAGATACTACTTTCCAGTAGAGAAGTACTAAAAGGAAGAAATTGCTTAGAGCTTTACTACAAAATACTTCGCATAAAAATATAACGTCCTCTATGAAGTAATCAGGGTTTAACAGCATGATCCATGTAGTCCAAGAATGCAAATCCAAGTTTTACCTGGACCATTTTCTTTCTTGGTATTGCATTGCCCTTGCACCTGTCCCTCACTAATAATGCTTGATTGCATAACTCCTATAAAAGTTAATGTGTAACACCTCAGGCACTATTTTCTGTTTGAGTGAAAGAGGCATTTCTCTTTTGAATATTGCAATCCTTTCTACCATATGCTGCTTTTTTTTCAAAATATTGCTACTAAAGGCAAAACAAAACCCCCTCATCAGGTAACAGATATGCCAATTTTTTGTCACTGACTTCCAGGTAGTCATACCAATGCATCATATTCAAATTGCTTGCAATTTCTGAGGTTAAGCAACAGAAAATTACTACTAAGAAATGTTTTTACCTTTGTGGAGTCTCCTTCTCTGGAGGCTTTCAAGACCTGTCTGGATGCCTGACTGATCTGCCCTAGTTGTTTGTTTGGTGGTTTTGGTTTTGTTTTGTGTTGGGTTTTTTTCTGCTCTGGCAGGGGGGTTGGACTCAATGATCTTCAGAGGCCCCTTCCAACCCCTAATATTCTGTGATTCTGTACAACTTCCATACTCTTTATGAGAAAATTTTTTTTGCAGTTTGCTAACCTGCTTCTTTTTTTGAGGCACTCTTCCTTCAAAGCTATGAATCCAAGTCTTAACAACCTGTCAGACTTCTTTTTTAATGGTCTAAAAGCATTACTACAAAAGTAACTTACTCCAACACCATAAAACATTCTGTAAAAAATGATCAGACTTCTGTTCAGGAGCAGATGCTTTCCTTTCCTCTGCTGTGTTTTGTAGTGCCATCCCTTGAAAGTTCATTTCTGACATTAGCATCAGTGATTAAGTCTAGTTGACTAACCTAGCTGAAAGCAACAGAATTATTCGAGGATGAAAATACTACTTGCTACAAAATAAGGGTGGCAAAATTAGCACAGCAACAAATAAGTTTGTCAGAATGGTGTTGTTCTACTGTATGTCAGGCCTCTGTAGGAATCCATGAGGGGAGCCTGAAGCACCATCACTTGATGGCTGAAGTGTTATTCTTTCCTTGTAACAGAATGCTTTTCATTTTCAAACAGGACTTGGAGGAACCAAATACATCTCCTTTGAAGAACGGCAGTGGCATAATGATTGCTTTAACTGTAAGAAGTGCTCTCTCTCATTAGTGGGTCGTGGTTTCCTCACAGAAAGGGATGATATCCTTTGCCCTGAATGTGGGAAGGATATCTGAAGCTCAAAATAAGAGGTGAGGAGAGGGGAAGAAAGCTGTGCTTGCAATATATAGTATGAAATACATGGATGTTTGGAAGCAGCTTTGCCACTCTATGTTTCACTCTACTATTAACATCACTTAACTTTTTTCTTCAAACTCTCCAAATCTGAAGGGAAAACTACTTCAGAAAGTCTAGTAGCAGTGTCGGTGTTTAAGATACTACAGCTAACTGAAACTAATGCAAAACCTGAGATGTAAAACCATTTGGGTTTTAGACGTATTATTTTGGGTTGGGTTTTTTTGTCCTTCCACTAAATATTCCAGTTACAAGCAAGTGATGTGGTTCAGGGATCACCAATGGCCATGCACAATATGTTCACAGATGGGATATTCAAGGTGAAACCTCCAGCCCACTGAAATCGATAGCAAGCACCATTCTATTTCAGTAAGGCTGTGGTCTCGCCTCAGGGTTCTTGATCTATGTGACTAGTGTGTGCTGTCAAGTGTGTAGAAAGACTGGAGGCATAGAGGGTGTTTCAATGTACGAGGATTTGTGCTATTCCATAAAAAGAGATAATGATAAAACAGTTGAAGTGGGAGTGCTTCATAACAGGTACATATTTTATTGCATGACTAGCTGATCATTGTGTGAAATACAAGTTCTGATTGACAGTGTCAGTATTACAGTTAGTCGACGTTACACTACACGTATTTTTCAAAATAAAATCATTTAAAACAAAATTGTGATTGTGCTTTAATTGTATTTACATGTTAGATATTTACAAATAAAATGCTTTCACAGTCTAAAGAAACACAATGCAAGAGCCATACAAACACAACCCCCTTTGCACCCAGTCGTTATGAAACTGTGGAATTTAGACAATCCTCATACGGGCCCTGCTGCTACAGAACAGTCTTCTACTAATTGAAATCAGTAGGAAAGTTGTCAGCAAAACTGAACAACTGCATAAAAATGTTGAATCGACTGCAGCTGATAAAAATGTGTTCAAAGGCTTTTAACTCAAAACCAAAATATTATTGTTCTCTGCAAGCAAGGAGGTCAAGACAACTCAAAAGATAGTTAATCTTTGTGCGAGTCAGAAGTTTTAACTTCTATACTAGGGCACACTTTCATTTTGTTCTGTATTACGATACATAATAACCTTTACTCTAGCATCATTTCTGCTACATGTTGGCTGCAACTGTCAGCAATAGAATGCTGGCAGGACAATAAAATTAAGATTAAAAAAATACAAAGGAAGGTAACTCTCTTCCCAAAGCAAACTTCAAGAAATAATAGCCATGTTATGCAATGTACGACCCTGGTAAACCTTTCAGATGTAACTCATTTGTATTCAGCAAAAGGAGGAAAGTAATATATCACACTGCCAACAGATGTGGAAAGGAGAATCAGGAATATACTTACTCTGTGTGTAATTAGGTA